TCGTCGCTCGGCCTGCTCAACAAGCACGCCAAGCTCCTCTTCCTGGGTCTCGACAATGCCGGAAAGACGACACTCCTGCACATGCTGAAGGTACGTGACAGGCTCACCCCGGGCTGGACTACGGGTCCAGGGCTACGGTTTCGAGGCCACCCTACGCATCGCATGCGATACCGTGCATTCAATAAAGAGACGTGCTGACATGACGGGATTCACAGAACGACCGAGTCGCCATCCTGCAGCCCACTCTGCACCCAAGTATGTCGTCCTGAAGCAAGCGTCGGCGGCAGGCACGTGGGCACATGCTGACACTATCACAGCTTCCGAGGAGCTCGCTATTGGCAACGTGCGATTCACAACCTTCGATCTCGGTGGTCACCAGCAGGGTACGAGACACTCTACACGAGAAAACCCCCTCCACAAGGGGATGAGACATGGGCGACGTAACTGACATTCCGACTGAACTATAGCCCGCCGTCTTTGGAAGGACTACTTCCCCGAGGTTAACGGCATAGTCTTCCTGGTTGACGCCAAGGACCACGAGCGCTTCCCCGAGGCCAAGGCCGAGCTCGACGCCCTCCTGTCGATGGAGGAGCTCCAGAAGGTGCCCTTTGTCGTCCTGGGCAACAAGATTGACCACCCCGACGCCATCTCCGAGGAGCAGCTGCGCCACGAGCTCGGCCTCTACCAGACGACGGGCAAGGGCAAGGTGCCTCTGGAGGGCATCCGGCCCATCGAGGTCTTCATGTGCTCGGTGGTTATGAGACAGGGTAAGTCGGGTTCTACACTTGCGAGGCCGATGCTGTTCTGTATTGGTCGAAATGGAGAACGCACTGCTAACATGGGTGACAGGCTACGGTGACGGTATCCGCTGGCTATCGCAATACGTCTAGACGACGTTGTGACAGAGAGTACAAACGAGGCCGCAACGCCGATGCGGAAAATGGCTGTTTCATCATGATCACTTCATTTAGACATAGTTCTAGACTAGGAGTGGGCGTGAAGAGGACAGGGCAAAGACAAAAGAAAGAAAGAAAGTCGACCAACGGTGGAGCAGAATGCTATATGGTGTGTACGAAAGGTGATAATGTTGATGACCTGCACGCTTGTTCAAGTGGAGATTTGGAGTTCTTTTTTATATGATAGCTTGCTGCTTGCATTGTTCATCATTTCATTATCTTTTTACAAGACGGACTCCTTGGGTTTCTATAGGAGTCTATGGCAATAGAGGCATATACCAAACTCACTCCTACTGTAATTGAGTCGTGTTGTAAGCTGTGCTGGTTGATGCTCAAGGTATAAACAGCCATCTCCTACAATGTTTAAGGGGCACAGAACGTACAGCATTCCTAGCCGCCATATAGTGAAGAAGAACTTACCTAGGTACAGTCTGTTGAACAAAATCTGAAGGCCATCCAGGGTTTGTACGGTGTACGCTTAACCTGTTAAGATGAGGCTCTGCATTTCCTGGACCATGAGATTTACCTTCAAAGTAAATATGCAGGTAGCTCAAGCTCAAAATCAATACCAACGTACGACTCGTCTTTATGCATTTGAAGAATAAATTTCCACCGACAAGGTAATTCACATCGCAGGTGACTGCTTTATAACATGTCGTTCGTCCCAGCAAAACATCGAGTGGTGAGCGCTAACACTTCAGCAGTGTTCAGCTGTTCCCTGTCACAGAGGTTCAGGGGTCTCCACCTACCAGATTGAGGCTCGGGTCCCCTCCACTTCTCCCTAGGTTAGCAGCTTCCCCAACCAAAATTAGAGCCGTCGGTGGACAGCGACGTCATTTCGGTGATTAACAGCTGGTGGCTCGCGGTTGAGAATGATGAATCTCGTGAATACTTAGCCTACATGGGCAACATCGACCTCGGTGACGCCTCAGGACACGAATGCGCTGCAACAACCTTTGGCAGTACCAGCCTTTCCGTAATACATACATGTCTCACGACATTTCCGATACAAGTTCGGCCAACATAGAACAACTACTACTCCCTGGAACCTCCTTCACTCCACCTTTGTGACCCCCATCCCGTGCGCAGAAGCACTGTCGACAAAATAAGACCCTTTTCCCTCATTATGCAGTGACTCTCCTACACTCACTGCTCTCGTGATCATGGCGACGGAAGACGCAAGGAGTGAGGAGAAGACCAGTGGTACCGGGTCTGACCAGAAGCCAGCTCGCCGCGTCACCTTCTTCGGTCTTGGAAAGCCGTACCACGACTACGGATTCCCTCCCGAGGCGTTTGACCACACTCGGCTGCCCGACGCCGAGGTTGACTTCCTCCGACCCGAGGACCTCGAGTCCTTTGCTCAGGCGCTCGCCGCCCCCGACCCTATCAACCCAGCCAACGACGATGGTTTAACGATACGGAGCCCCTCGCTGCGAAGCGGGAGCACCTTCAACCTCGACACGCCGACTTCCCCAACGGCGCCGACGGCTAAGGCGAGTGGGATCAGCCTAGGCAATGGGATGGATGGACGGACCGCGACGCTCCGAATTAGCGAGCGCAACCGGCACGGAAGTCAGGGCAGCCTGCTCATCTCGGCGCAAAACGACTGGGCTCCCGTCAACGAAAAGGTCGGCAAGCGCCGCCGCAAGAGGCGCAAGGCGCTCGGCCGCAGCGTTGACGAGGCCCGTGAGGGCAACCTCTATACCCTGCTGCGCTGGCCATTCCTGATATTTACGTTAACCTGGATCGCTGGTCTCGGCATTGCCTACATGAGCACGCGGCTGTACGTATGGGGCTACGAGTACTTTGTCGCTTGGCGTGGTCATAGGGAGCGACTCCGCCGCAATCTGCGTGCCACGAGCACTTATAAAGAATGGTCAGATGCCGCCAAGGAACTCGACAAGTACCTCGGCAACGACAAGTGGAAGCAGGAAAACGAGTACGCCTACTACGACTCCAAGACGGTCCGCCGCGTCTGGGAGCAGATCAGGAAGCTCCGGCGCGAGGCCCAGGCCCAAGAGTCTGATCTAAATAATACCTCGAGGAACAATGAGCGCAAACGGCCTATTGATGAGCTCAAGTCGTTGATCGAGGCCAGCGTAAAGAGCAATTTTGTCGGTGTCGAAAATGCCAGGTTATACAGCGAGACGTATTTCGGCACCAAGAACCTGGTGCAGAACTTTATTGAGGAGGGTAAGTGGCTTAATCTGCATGTCCTCAGCCAACCACTTGACAGCTTTATGTTAACATGAACACAGTCGAGAAGAGCACACGCCTGCTAGTAGAGACCGATCAACTCTCGCTCGATCAGAAACAGACCCTTTTCAAGCATCTGCACGCCAATTATGGTCGCACGGCCCTGTGTTTATCAGGCGGTGCCACATTTGCGTATTATCATTTCGGCGTTGTCAAGGCGTTGCTCGAGGCAGACCTTTTGCCAGAGGTCATCACGGGCACGAGTGGTGGTGCTCTAGTGGCTTCGTTGGTTGCGACGCGAACGAACGAGGAGCTTAAGCAGCTCTTGGTGCCCGCTCTGGCCCACAAGATCAAGGCATGCTCAGAGCCCATGTCAACATGGTTGGTCAGATGGTGGAAGACGGGAGCCCGGTTCGACTCCATGGACTGGGCACGGCAATGCAGCTGGTGGGCTCATGGTTCCATGACATTCAGAGAGGCCTACGAACGAACCGGCCGCATTCTCAATGTTTCCTGTGTGCCGGCCGATCCACACTCGCCCACCATTCTCTGCAATTATCTGACGAGCCCCGACTGTGTCATCTGGTCGGCTGTTTTGGCTTCGGCCGCGGTGCCAGGCATCCTAAACCCAGTCGTCCTAATGATGAAGAACCTAGATGGGTCACTTACCCCCTATTCTTTTGGACACAAGTGGAAGGACGGTAGTCTGCGTACTGATATTCCCATCAAGGCGCTCAACCTCCACTTTAATGTCAACTTTACTATTGTCAGCCAGGTCAACCCACACATCTCCTTGTTCTTCTTTTCTTCGAGAGGCACCGTTGGCTCTCCTGTGACGCACCGCAAGGGCCGCGGCTGGCGTGGCGGCTACCTCGGCTCTGCAACGGAGCAATACATCAAACTCGATTTGACCAAGTGGCTCAAGGTTCTTAAACACCTCGAGCTGCTCCCTCGGCCTCTAGGCCAGGACTGGTCTCAACTCTGGCTTCAGCAGTTTGGTGGCACCATTACCATCTGGCCCAAGTCGAAACCCAGCGACATACTTCGCATTCTTTCGGATCCGGATGCGGATCGTCTTGCTCGAATGATCCATGAAGGACAGCAGAGCGCTTTTCCAAAGTTACAATTTATTGCAAACAGGCTCAAGGTGGAGAGGCAGATCGAGCGCGGACGCCGCGAGACAACGAACATCAGAAAGGGCAGCCTGGACAACTTCATTGACGAGGATGATCTCCAGAGTCTCTTGCTGAGGGGCAGCGTGGGAACGGATGAGGACGTCACCGGTGAAGACGACGACGAGGAACCACTCGACGAGTACGCCGTTGCGGATAGCGACTTCGAGGGGATGACTGAGAGCCCTGGCGAGTATAAAGATGCGCCTGAAAAGACAGAGTCCGACCTAGTTCAAGAGGAGGAGTCGCAGTAGCGTTTTGTTCAATCATCGTTGCATCGATACCATTGTGTTTGTATTCAGGGAGTTTAGGGGCATGCGGATGTATGTATACTGGGTTGCGAGAAGCATAACCTGATAAAGAGGCCAAGTCTCATTACACTGAAAGTGAAACAATAGAATCATTTCAAATCATTTCTACGAACAATTTCTTCATGGACAGCTACATGTGTTCTGCATCCATTGGTTCATTGAGTACCTAACCAAAAGAAACATGATCGCCATCGGTGGACGCAATTCACCTCTGTACCTCGTAGATACCGTTATCTTCACAAAATGACCTACATATCTTATCAATAGCAGCCAGCATTGAAAATAAGAATTGGATAAACAAAAAAGGAAACGAAGACAGTCAGGGAAAACAAAAAGGAACAAGAGATTAAAAAAGCAAAAAGAAATGCCCACTGGCGGAATTGAACCGCCGACTTTTGCATTTCGCAAATGTTTCTTACAAGTGCAACGCTATACCACTAAGCCAAGCGGGCATGCTTGTCTTTCGACGGGGAAGTTTGTCGCTAACGAGGAATATGACATGTGGCGTGCAGACCCACAAGTTTTCTCGGACGACCTGCAGTGATTTGCGTAACGGGAAAACAATACTATTACCTTGGGCTGCTTGTTTGTATTATATGCTGTTGTGTTATTCGCAAAGCTCTTGAAATTGTTTTGCAAAACATGAAATACAGTTTCAAAGCTTATTGATTTGGTATGGACGGTATATCAACGCCCATACTGCATAAACCTCTCGGCTGGGCCACACGCACTTTATACAACGATGGCATTTTTTGCGAGTCCTTTTCAATAACATCTTGATGCTCCAGATATTCCACGAGTCTCAATGCTAACAACAGAATAAATTGACGACAGTCTTAATCAGTGCAGAATATACTTGTCATTTGGCCACACCTTTCGGCTCTGAGCCCTTACTTGGCAGCATGAATGGATGGTCAGCCATGGCGGTAGCGGGACTGCTTATAAGTCAGATCCGTGGAATCGCATATGGCACAAACTCAAATAGATCTCTCCATGTCCAACCATATGGGACAACATCTTACGGTCCTTGTAGTCCGTTACCATTCGTATATAGGATGTACGTAATACGTAATAAAATACGAGACGACTTATAGTTGCTGCAGAAGGATGCGTATACACATGATCCGGCATTTACAAATTCGAATGCAATCAAGAACGATTCCTAGAGGGAACTCGAAACGAGTTCTCGTGACCATTCATTTCCCGTTTTAGCCTCCGACTCCAACGCATCGTCACGTCTTTTGCGTCTCGGTCTTGGCGGTCTGGGGTCGTCCGGATAAAGTAGCAATGCAACGATCCTGGATCACCAGTCGTGGTACGTATGCCCAATATCGGGAGGAGGGAAAATCGGTGCAACGGTATTTCTAGAAGAAACATTGGTGGGCTGAGCATGGTGCCTTGATGAAAAGTGCCGAATGCTTGTCGGAAGCGGTTATATGGGAAGACCTCTGAAGAAGAAGGCGGAGGAAGGGCGAACCGTCATGCTCGAGAAGCGCATGCGAGAAAAGAAAAAGAGAAGCAACTTCCTTGCTCACCAAGCTCACTCCTGGACATAGAGAGTTCTATCGGAGACGATTTGACTAGAATCGTAGAAGAAAATACATCATGATGCTTCTAGGAACTCTTGCGTTCGCGGCGCTGTCGCTCGCGCCCCTGGCCGCCGGCCACCCAGGCGAGGAATTCAACAAGCGAGCGCACATGGAGGAGATGGCCAACGCGCACGCCGTGGCCGACGTCAACGCGAGAGCGCTCGAGGCATGTGAGAGCAGACCCGACGTCAAGGAGCGGCGCGAGCGAGCAGTCGCTCGGAGAGCCGCCACGTTTGAGCGTCTCCGCCAGGAGAGGGGACTACAGGACGGTAGGAATTTCCAGCATTCACTACGGCTCGCCAATGATTTACCAATAGTGACTCGCTGACGACTTTCCACAACTACAGAGACCTTCCTCCACCGGCGCGACGCGGCCTCGCTGCGCCAGTGGGCGGCCAAGAGCCACGACAAGAGCAGCCTCAAGTACAACCAGGACACGCCCATCGCGGAGCTGTTCGGGACCAACGCCAGCTGCGTCCTGACGCCCGACAACGCCAACGGGCCGTACTTTGTCTTCCAGGAGCACATCCGCAGCAACGTCGTCGAGGACGTCAAGGGCGTGCCCATGCACCTCGAGATGCAGTTCATCGACGTCAACACCTGCAAGCCGGCCAACGTGCTGATTGACATCTGGTCATGGTAAGTGGCGGCCCTCACTTTTGGGATACCCAGTTTTCTAAATGTAAAAACTTGCGCAACAGCAATTCCCAAGGCGTCTACAGCGGCGTCAGCGCCGCGGGCGAGGGCGGCCTCGGGACGACGTACCTGCGGGGCGTGCAGCCGACGGACGGCGACGGCGTCGTCCACTTCGACACGCTGTTCCCGGGGCACTACTCGGGGCGGGCGACGCACGAGCACATCATCGCGCACGTGGGCTCGAAAGTCCTCGCCAACGGGACGTACAGCGGCGGGCAGGTAGCGCACCTGTCGCAGCTCTTCTTCGACCAGGCGCTGATCGACACCATCGAGGCGTCGGCGCCGTACAATACCAACAAGATCGCGAAGACCAGCAACACGGCCGACGGGTTCACGGGGTACGCGGCCAGCCCCAACTATGATCCGTTCCCCAACTACGCGCTGCTCGGCAGCGGCGTTTCTGGTGGTCTGTTCGTCTGGGCTGAGCTCGGCATCAATACCAGCTCCAACTGGGACTACTACGCCCCCTACGCGAGCACCTGGAAGGAGGGCGGCGGGTACAATAATCCAAAGTTCAATATGATGGTTGTCGCTACGCCTCCGCCGACGCATGGATGAGAACCTTTGTTTAACTCAGCAGATTGGTATTGGCGAGATACTCGGTCTCATCTCTATTGTTCAAGTTAGCGGGTTTGAGGCCTATACGAGGAAACGTTGTTTCTTAGCTACTTATATATGTGATTTCTTCTATGAGTTTGTCTCATTCTGTGAGAAAAAATGAATGGTCTATAACATATCGTGACTTCTACGTTTTTGCCAGTTTCATACAATAGCTATGCTCTCAATTTTCCAATATCACAACATCTGTGAAACTATCTGGTTTTCATAATACTAAGAACGCGTTGATGCTTCAAGTGAATCCATAGTTCCCAGTAGGGGCAGACCTAGACTTCCCCAACGTTTCCCAAATCACTCAAAGCAGAAAGGCGACCCATCGTAAACTCACGACTCAGAAAAATCGAGCTGCCGGACATCAAATGACTGCCGAGCGCCGGCGGCGATATGAAAAGGTCTCCGCTGCAAGTCCCGCCATTCCCTTCACTAGTCGCGCCATCGCCACGCACATTCAAGTGGTGTCTTGATGATATTGAGCGCGGGGAAGGCGTCGTGGCTCATCTTGAAACGATGGACATTACCGGTCCGCCTTATAGCGTGCTGGGTATGATCTGACGTCTTGGCGAAATTTCCACAACGTTTCGGGGCCAGAGGATTTATAGTGGTTTAGATGAGAAAAGAAGGCTGGGCAAGAAATGCATGTCACGTAACGCCTCGTCTAACATCTCACCACTTGCCATTGGAGCCGTGGCCTTGGTTTTTATATTAATGCGCCTCACTTGACCGTGATCCGGGTAATTTGTCCGCTCACCGCTCACGGGGACCGCCCGTTGGGAAACGTGTTTGCTCCGTTGAAATGCTAAAGTTGAGCCAACGTTCAGAGTATTTCGCTTGTTAAAAAGACTTTAGCCGTGACAGCTCCCTGGGAAATTACGTTGGCCGTGACTTGATCGAATGCACGGCATGTTTCTTGTCCAAGCAAAGTAAACAGAACAGCTGCTACGTTGATTTCCCGCGCAGCCAATGAGGACTGAGTATATCTGGTTCTCATTTGCCACTCGCAAATTAATACGTGCTCCGTAGTGGTATACAGAACCGAACCTCTGGATGGTCATGTACCCCGGATTTTACATCCCTATAATAAGTGGAGCCAAGATTCGTATTGATTGTACGGATTGCCGACTCTTTTGGTCAGCTATTCGACTCCCAAACTCGATCAGTGTGCATCAGCTGTTTAATCAGGAAGGAAAGATGTCACGACTTGCTCGTATCGCGCTCGTTGCGCTCCAGATTCTGCTACTGTCCAGCATCGTCGACGCGGATGCCGTCCTGGATCTCTGGACCAAGGGGCAGCCATCGCTTGACGCTCAGCTCGCAAAGTCGACGACTTGCTCCAAGGACAAGCTACAGATTCGCAAGGAATGGTAATTATTCTTTTCTTCTTCCCCTTTTCTCTTAGATTACGGCATCATTTCTTTATGGAACTCGTGCAGATTTACTAACTCGAGACATCAAGGGGAGATCTGACCGATACCGAAAAGTCGAGCTACATCAACGCCGTGCTGTGTCTCAGCAAGGCGCCGTCAAAGCTCGACCCGACGCAGTACCCCGGGGCCAAGACTCGGTACGACGACTTTGTCGCCGTGCACATGAACCAGACCCTCAGCATACACGGCACCGTATGCCAACCTCCCAACCTCCATGGTGTTATCGCTGCGCACTCATAGCTGACATGTATCCGACAGGGCAACTTCCTCTCGTGGCACCGATACTATACGTGGTCGTACGAGCAGGCACTGAGGAATGAATGTGGATACAATGGAACGCAGCCGGTACGTTCTATATCAACTGGAGAGAGTAACAAATCAATCTAAATTTTTGCACTTTCCAGTACTGGAACTGGGGACGCTGGGCTGCCGACCCCGAATCATCACCCATCTTCGATGGTTCGGCATTGAGCATGAGCGGAAACGGAGAGAAGACGACTCACACGGGCCAGATCGTGACTGGCAACGGCGGAGGCTGCGTCACCTCTGGCCCATTCAAGAAGTGAGCTATCGTTGTCCTGTTTAATCCAGCACACTTGACTGACTAATCGGCCAGCTTCACCGTGAACCTCGGGTAAGTCGTCATCTCTCGACATCAACAACTCCGCAGGACAAGACTAATCCATAGAACCCCAGGCCCATGAGCCCAGCCATATCCCCGGCGCCGGCCAAGAACCCGCGCGCCGACGGCATGGGTTACAATCCGCGGTGTCTGCGGCGCGACATCAGCAACAAGCTGTCGTCGCAGTACTCGCGCACCGAGGACATTGTCAAGCTGGTCACGGGCAGCGCCAACGTCGGCACGTTCCAAAACACGCTGCAGAGCACGGCGCCCATCAACGTCCACGTGGCCGGCCACTTCACCATCAGCGGCGACCCCGGCGGCGACTTTTACGTCTCGCCTGGGGACCCTGCCTTTTGTGAGTTTTATTCCTTTTTTTGCTTCTTGTCTTTTTCCTCCCGTGTTTTCGCTTGGGTCTTGGGTGTCTGACTGGGTGTATCGCAGGGCTTCACCATGCCATGATCGACAGAACTTGGGCGATCTGGCAGCTGCAGGATCTGGCC